AATGTAAGTCAGGGAATACACACTATTTTCCCTCTCAGTATTAGTACTATCTAGTACTGATTTTTTTTTTCTATTATTATTTCTAGTTGCCTCCAGTGAGGACTGTCAGTTTTGACACATGTTTTTCCTTCCCCATGTACTATCCCAATCATAGTGGATGTTAGGTCAACTTATGGGCTGATAGATTGGAACAATTTTTTGTTCTATTTTATTCTTTACCCAGCGCTCCCTGTGTTAAATGACGCGTTTATTTTTGGGTGTGGGAGTGAGAAAGAGGAAGAAAAAAATAAAGCACTAGAGTAGTTATATCTATGTCCTTGTAACTATAAAAAGAATAAAATAATTGGGAAAAGTGGATCGCATCATATGTCATGGATCGTTAAAAGTCAGGTTGCAGACTTTTTAGGGCAAGTGGTTTATGAATTTCGACGGCCAAAACTTGTAATCAAATAAACCACGAATTACTCAGTTATTACTTAACACAGTTCAATATAAGCTTTTACAGTGGAATTGTTTTTGATGCTGTTCTATTTACACTCTTTTACGCGTGCTGAAAAGAATATGAAAAAAAAAGTATTTTTTGAAGTTAATTTAATTATTATTTATAAGAAAAAAAATAAAATTTTTTAAAAACATTTCAGTTCTATTTCAAAAGGGAATGCTACTGTAGAACTGAGAGTACTATAAGAGAGAACTATTATAAAACTCAATTTTGGTGAAAAATAATATCTACTATATAGATACAGAGTGTCCTACGATTATTGGTACAAACTTTAAGTGAATATAGCGGAAATAGCAATAGGATTTACATAGCAGTCCATGGCTGGAAACTTCGTTGCTCGTTGCCAGGTGTTGTTGTTCACGAGATACATTGGGTGTGGTGGACCGGTTTTCTGGCCACCACAATCTCCTGATTTAAGCAGCATGAATTTCTTTCCTTGGGAAACATTGAAAAGTGTTGTGTACGCAACACCTGTGTATTCCGAAATGGACCTGGTTCTATGAATACTCTATGATATTAGATATCCAACGAAATCGTATATTTGAGCGTAAACGTATATTTGAGCTAGTTCGCCAATTCATGGCCAACGGTGGAACGCATGCATCGTTAGTAATGGTTGAATTTTTTAACACCTTTTGATACATCATCATACGTAATCTGACATCCTTGACCAATAAATATTTCAAATGATCTCAGTCTTTACGTCTTTTTGTTTCTTTTATCTTACATACTACTTTCCTAACGCGTTTCCGACCATAGTTTGCTATGCATTTCTGAATCCTGGCGAGACTTCCATTTAAAGTTTTCCCGCATAATCGGCATCATGTGGCTAGCATATTTTTTATGCAATCAGGGTCTTAGCATCATTTTTTTGAGGGCTGCACCAACTATCAATCATTTTTCAAACTAAATGCTCATTGCATACAGATAAAAAAAGGTAAACTTTGTGTTGCGTATAGGTAAAGCGTAACATCAATAAATAAAGTGAAAGCAAAAAGAATGAAATAAAAAACAGCGAATAAAGCACAAAATTGCAGCTTTTCCTCTTCCTCCTGTTTTTTTAATGTTGTTTTGCTTTATGTTGTTTGCTTTATGTTATGCTATATTATGTTGTTTTGCTTCACCCATGATAAGTTAAAATGCATTCTGACCAATGGTTCCTTTCAGAGGATTTTGAAAATCCAACTTTATTTATAATCACACTGTGTTTTTTTTTTTTTTTTTTTTTTTTTTTTTTTTTTTTTTTTTTTTTTTTTNTGTATTTTTATATATTTTTTTTAAATACACCATTTTTGAATTCAGTAGGTAATTCATGATATTTCCATAAAGTTATACATAAATATTTAAAATATATTGACTTAGAATTTTATGAAACAGAAACATCAAAACATTTAGCATTTTCCCTCCAACATTCTTTTTTTTCTTTTTTCTTGTCCATATTTTAAATTACTTGAATTTTAATAAAATTACAATTCCTCATTCTTAGCGATTTATTACTTTTAAATATATTATTATTTAAATGTATGCAGTCCATAATATCGTGATACCAAAAACTTTTTTCATTAGTTCTCGGCCCATTTCAAAATTAAAAAAAGAAATATGTATACTCCCTTCAAAAACTTTTACAAAACTATCGAACTCTATCTGGCAGTTGGAATACATAAATTTTACATTTTTATCTTTTTGAAGAAAACTTTTCCTTATTCAGCAGAGAATGATTTCTGAAAACCCGTTCGTAACCTCAGCACATTTTTTTTTCTCTTAGTTTAGCTCCTACACAGCCCAGATCATGCAATTTACATACAAATAAAATATAAAAAAAGCTCCCTTTGATGCCAAGGCGACGAATCAGCAGTTTTCTTCTACTTTCTATGGCGTGTGGCAGGAAGCGAATGCGTATTGTGCTTCTTTAATAGAGTTTGTTAAAAACTTTTTACTTGTATATTCATCTCCTGCTGCGAGTGAGACTTTGCTTAACGCAAAATGTACCGATCAAGTAACTATAAATGTAATATCTGAAAGAAAATATTTCCAAATTATTATCATTTATCTTTAATGATAGCTAATTCCCTGTTTTACTCATGGGATGAATTAGGCAAATAATAAATTCATCGGTATTGATCAAGCAACGAAATATTACATAAAACTGAAAGACATTTACCAGCACAATTACGCTGCAAATTTTTTTTTTCTAAAATTACATTAAAATAACCAATAGTAGTCTGTAAATTCGATTGACCGTAAAGTTTACGGTTAAAAAATTTTTTTTAACTTTACTGAGTTAAATAACTGTTATGGCTAAAAAACCGTGATTGCAAAACTATAGGGTGTCGTAACTATTTAAAACTAGCTTACCTACACAACTGAGGAAATACAATTTGATTGGAGATCTTAGTTAGTTTATGGTTGGCTTTTCGGTTAGATAATGGACATTGGAGTTAAGTTGTGGTTAAATTGCGTTTTATTAAATGAATCGCCGAATGTGGTTTAATTGGTTTATTTGGTCGTATCATCGATCTTCAGAGATGGGAAATAATAGATTTTTTGTGTTAAACACCTCTGTGGGGCCATCTAAGCTTGAACGGGAATTTCGCATTTCAATTTTCTGAGATCACCTATTGAAAAATGCAGGACATTGAACATTCTTCATGTGTTGAAGGAGTAGAAGTGGTGTTGTTAACTTTGGGATTTAAACACCTGTTCAGTCAGTCATGAGAATGACAGATAAGTCCTTCCCGGCTAAAGTACTGCCAAATGGTTTCAATAGGTTAGCTTAGTTGATACGAATAACATTTTGGTTGTTTAACCGCATTAAAGTAAAAAGAGTTAATAAAGGATTTTTCTCACAGTTTATTGTTTAAATAATTTCTTTGTATGGTTGTTGTCTGGTTTGGTTGAATATGGTAAAATTACGCTTAAGCAATTTGTTATATAACCATTTTTACGGATAAGTTTCTAACAGTGTAATAAAGATAAAATAATTCCATTTTTTTTATTATTGCACTGCATGGTGGTTTAACGTTGTACGATTTAGCTAAACACGTTTTAATAATAAAAAAACTATTTTGAAAAAGACGAAGAAAGAAGATTTAACGAAGCAAATCAAAATTAAAATATAAAAAAGGAACTAAAAGAGTAAAAAAGCAGAATACTGATTTTCAACTGCATTGTCTCTATTATAAATCAAAATTATAGATTTCAAACTGATGTATTCACCAATAAATAAGTTCAAAATTATTGATAATATACGATTCAATTAATTTTAATTCAACACAGGGCACCTATACAGTTGTTCCCTTTGTGTTTTTAACAATGCTCTCAATACGCTACATAAAACCTATTACATTACACACCAAATTTATTCCTAACCTAACAAATAGCAGAAAGAAAAAGCAAAATCAAATAAACAAATCTAAAAAAGAAAATAGAACAGAGAAAAATGGTAAAATAACGCTTCAGTCGAAGCAGTTTTAAAATTAACGGATAAAATAATTTAGAATACTCGATTCAATTCAAGATTTTAATTAAAAAATATAAATTGGTGGATATAGATAGCATACTTAAAAAATACAGAAATAAATAGAAAAAGATCTATTTTTAATTTACACACTTGAAATTATTTTCCATTATCAGTTTTGTGTAGTTTTCTTAATCGTAACAACAATGCAATGATTAAACTTTAATAAGAAGAAATGTGACAATTGATGTTGCTATCGTTTTTTTTAAATCTCATATTTAAAAAGAAAAACACTTAAGTATTCCAGTAATGACTTTTTTTTAATTATATTCGAGGATCAATATTTTTCTTAAACTAGAATTAATAGAAAATATATTTCTTTTGTGAGATAAAAACAGTTGAAAATTAAAGCGAAATGAAACAAAGTTCTTGACAGATAATGTTTAAATGGAACATAAAGCTTAATTCGGTAAGTAAGTAAATAAAAAGAAAGATTTAAAATTTTAATTAGATTATTTGAATCAAGTAATTTTTTTCTGTAAGGACATGAATCATTACATTTGTATAGGACTTTTTTTTTAAAAAAAATACTTCATTTGTTTTCATTTATCTTTCAAACGTTAATATTATTTATGAAGGTCCGTAATTAATTCAATTATTCAGTATATATATATATATATATATCTCATATTCTTTTGTGAAAATGCTTCATGACTTCTCAACATTGGCATTTTAAAAAATACACAAATTATTGAATTTCTAAAAATGAGAGTTTTTCATTCAAAAAAGTAAGCCATGTTTTTGTTAAAAATGTGAAAGCCTAGATAAGCCAATTGTAAGAAAATAAATACATTTACCAAAATTCACATTTGTAAAACTTATTTCAACTTTAAAATTAATCTTATTCATAAATTTATTGCTTTCATCATTAATTTGTTTTCTTTAAACTAAGGTTACTTAGAAACTATTTTCTAAAAAGTTGGAGTTTTAAAATATGTTCATTTTAATATTTTGTGCCTATTTATTTTATATTTTGTTTATTTTTCTAGATTTCACAGTTTTGGTAGATCTTTGTATTTGTGCTCACGAATGCTTTACAGCAGCATGCAATATGGATGGAATATCTCAAATTCTTCATAATGCACAAACTTTAGTAACTTTGCTTGAAGAGGCTGAAAAATTTTCCACAATGGTAGCCAAATCTATTTTGTTTTATAATCACTGAATTTTTTTCTGTTATCAATAAAATTAAGAACTTTTTCTTATTATATGTAAATATCAAGGCCTACTTATATTATAAAACATACTCAATCAACAAGTATTTAATGTCTATACACTTGTTTTTTTTATTACTCTTGTTGAACAGTCCACCCAAGTGTGAGTTTATGACTTTCAACTCCATAGCCTTGTAATTTTGAGCACAACTCAAAAAATTGAAGAGTTGTAGCCTACATGATTCTCTGTCTTACAATGGACTGTTCCAGAGATAATTTATTCTCTGTAAGCATATTTCAATTAATATCATAATGCAAGTAGTGATAAAATGTCAGCTGGGTTTTTTTCTTCCTGGATTCATTTCAACTTATAATATTTTAGTTTAGAAAAGCAATTATTAAACTTTTAATACAAGAATCAGCAAACTAAAATATTTTGATGAAAAGTAAGGGAATTTGCTGCATTAAATTTGTTGATAAAAAAAATTATGTGCTGCTTATTCTCTGCTCTAGTGGTATTCTTTTATTCAAACATAATGCCTTATTTCATTTTACAAAAATGTATTGAACTTGTATTAAGCATAGTAAACAAATGATTTAATTTTTTATTACAAATTTATCATTTACGGTAGATTTTTAGAGTTACTACTCTGCAGAGAGAACAAGGAAAACCTGCAAAATAATTTAAAATTCATCGAATATAAAAGGAAAATGCAGGGAATTTTGAATTTTTCCTTACAATCTGAACATGCTTCATATTTACTAAATTATTTTTATTACATTATTGATTTAAAATTATGTCTCTTTGTTAAGTTGTGAAATAAGAGAAATATATCTTTGTTTCATAGAAAAAATTTATTATGGATTTTTAATTATGTCATTGTGTAAATTTTTGGAATGACAAAAATGTATTTTTGTACTTTTAGGTTCATTTATTGACAGGCTTAGACAGATACAGTGAAATGATGTATGTTTTTGACATTTTGAAATCACATGATAAATTCAGTATTCTTTTCGAAAAGAAAATGGACAATGTAAGTTTTTTTTTATTATTCTAATTATGCATATTCAAAAAGATACAGTTTTCAAAATGAAATCTGCGCAAAATTAATATTAATAAATCAAATTAAATTTAAATAAATTAAGTCTCAGATGCATAGATATTTTAATTTAAGACAATAATTTTCTTGTCGTATGATCGTGAAATTAATTCTATTTTTTAAACAAATGGATGTCTGCAAGTGACGTCATCATGAGTAAATTGTGGCATTTGTTGATTCAGAAGCCAATCAAGTTCGGCACACACGCATGACGTTGCTTACAGGTATCCAAATAAATCTGATTTAAATTACATGGTTAGGCATAATCACTTCACTTCTTCTCAAGTTGCAAATACCCAATTGTTGTTTTGTTATTTTGTATTTTTAGATGCCAAATCTTAGACTAGCATTACTAGATTACTTGAAGAAATATCCACCATCTGAGAATGACAACTATTTTTATACACTTGCCAACAGATTTGGCATGCATCGTGAGAAGGCTGAAATTCTTGAAATGTCAGTGCAGAAACTCTTATCACAATTGTGTAAAAAAAATAGTGGTAAGTTATTATTTTTATATGTAGCTTCAAATATGTATCACTAGATCTTTCAATTCTAATCAATTATAATTATTTGGTTAATTTATACATTTGATATTTTTTTTTTACCAGGAGCACTTTTTAATTAAATCTTCTTAGTTCAGTAGAATGTATATTCTACTGGCAGCAAGTGATATTGGAAACTTTTATTTTATTTTAACATTAAGTTTCTAGAGATTGTAAAAAATCTTTCCCATAAGTATTTATGAATTGTTTTTAAAGAAAAAGAAATTTTAACGTTTCATGATGTTTTGGTTTNGCCCATAGAAGGTTCTGTGAGAGATAAAAAATAATTTAATATGTAGAAAAATCGATATTTTATTACTTCAATGCAGACTATTAGTTATTGTTATTGTCTCATACTCCAATTAATTTATAATTAATTGGTTAATTAATGAGGTTTCTAATTAATAAATCAATTAGCAAATTAATTAATTAATTTTTAATTAAATATTAATAAGTTATTAATTAATTGATTGATTTGCAATTACATACTCCAATTAATTTGGAAAATTTTTGGAAAAAAAAGCAAAAAAATTTGATGTCAATTTTTTTAAAATTAACCTAATAGGTTTTTCTGAAAAACTACTGATATATAAAATTTTCAAAATCAATTTTGAGAATAAATATGCATTACATAGTACGTGAAAGTAAGTACCACAAAATTAATTGGAGTATGAGATAATGACAATAATTAATTGTCTGCATTGAAGTAATAAAATACCGATTTTTCTATATATTGAATTATTTTTTATCTCTCACAGGACCTTCTATGGGCCGAAACGAATGTTACCTACTAAAATTATTCCTCATAAGGCATACAGCCCACTAGTTTATTTTAAAATTGGCGAGTCACACTTCCCTAGTTTCCCTTGTCAGTTATGAAATTTAGAAGCAGGCTTCCAGTTCCTATATACCTGATATTTCTCAGATGAACTTGATATTTTTGAATTGATGATACTCAAGCTGGGAGTGATGGATTAAAAAAGAATTTATGGTATATTTATGCATGTAACTTAAAGAGTTTTTTAAAAGCTTTTTAAGCTATTTATAATCTGTAAAGCTTCAGGCTAACGCATCTTAGAGATTTTGCTTCAATTTTAGTGTAAATGAATTGCGCTTGCCTATATTCTGGTATATTCTCTCAAGAAGCGAGAAGTTTATTTACAAAAAATTCAATAATTTCCTACTCCCAACCAATAGTTCACACCTTTTGCATTATATTAAAAATTGATATAATTTTCGCCGATACATGAATTTAATTTCTTTTTCTGGTTCTTTTATTGTAAAATTTCTACTGAAATTGATCATTGTCGTTAACCTTTAATCTCGTTTTGTGAAATTTATAAATACTGAAAATAATCATTTTTATGTGTATTTTGTAAAATACAATAAGAACTTAAATTTCAATTTCACTTACGAATTTTTGAATTTATCTTAAATCATTTAAATTATTTTTGGAAACAAAAATGTTAAGATGGCATACGTCTTTATCATTAGGGAAATAAATTGAGCAAAAGCCAAAATAATAAAAGCAAATTTTTCATCCATCCGATTCAAATATAACTTAAATTGGGTAAAACGTTATTTGAATGCCTGTTGCGATAAAATAAATGCAACATAAATTGGTATCCAACAGAAAATTTCATATTTTATTTCGTTTACTGATCCTAGATTCTGTTTCTTTTTCATTTCGCTATGGATGTAAAAATGTTTCTTTTTCTTTACAGGAGCTCTCATGTAATTTGCATATAGATAAAAATTCTCTTCTTATTTTTCTATAGTTGGTGCCTTACTGCTGATTTTATTCCATGCAAAGAAATGGCGTATATTTTAGGTGCTGTTTGTTTCAAGAAAATGTCAGAAATAATTTCTTTCTCACTGTCTAAGAGATGCAGAGCTATGTTATGTCTGCACGTGAAGAAAATGTAGAACGCCTTTAAAATGCAAGCTTTAAGATTTTCAGATTTAATTTTTTTCGCAAAAACGGAAAAAGGTAAACTTGACAGTTTACACAATGAACAAGAGAATATGGTGTCAAAAGTTGGGTAAAGAAAAATGCATATTGAAAAACAAGAAGAAATACATGTCGCCCCACATTTTAATGCTAGTCTTGAGAAAATATTTTTGCTTATTTTATCAAAAAAAATAAGCAAATTTTGAAAAGATAAATAAGCTGTAGTCTTCTTTTTATTTCAACAAAAAATTCCAATGGTAAGAAGATTTATTGCTCAATCGTTGATTTGTGATACAAAATACTGACTTTATGCAAGTAAACATCCATTTAAAGAAATCGAATGATCATCTTGGTGTAGTGGCATTTCTTATGACATGCCCTGGGTTCCTTAGTTTCTTTGGTCTGAAACATGTACACTCCTAAATGTAATATAATTAAGATGTGAACATCATGGACAACGCTGCTTTGTCAACTATATGGCAATATTTTAGGAAAAATATATTTATCATCTAGCAGGATAACTGCTACATTTGTACATCGTAACTTTTCGCATCAATGGGTTGTCCAATACAGTGCTAAAAGTTCTTCATTATGTTCAAAGCAGTCTTTGACCCGGTAAAGGGTTAAAGCTTGAGAACTGGAAGGTAATTTACACAGTTTCACGTATTTTAATTCCGATACTTGAGTCGTTCATGAATATATTTTCACAATTTTTGCAGGCGATTTCCGTATTTAATTACCTGTAATTTCGCATGGGATTCTTGATAAATGATGATTAATAAACTACCAAGAAAAAGTTTTAAAAAGTTTTAAACAGCGTACATTTTACGCAATAAAAAAGAAAAATATTAAATAGTTGTAATATATTTTTTCGCGCTAAAATATATTGTACAGCAATACTACCAAAAATATTCCTTGAATTAAAAAATTTAATTTAGTTTAAAAATATTTAGGATAAATATATATTTCTAATTTTTTATTAAATTTGAAGACTTAAATGAAAATTTAGGAAAAAATGTTATAATTTCCTTAAACCTTTCTTAATAACTATTTAAAAAATATTTCTCGCGAAAAAAAAACATATTTGCTTTTATTGAGGACAAATATGCAAACAAAATAAAAATTGAATATTCATCGATTAATTATATAAAGATAAAAAATTTCTTAAAGAATAGAAAAAAAATCTATAAAGACCGAATGAAATAAAAAGATTCTTCATGACTCAAAAGAAAAAAAATATGAAAAATAATCTTCAAAATTTATAAATATAATCTTTTAATTTCGTATTTTTCAATTCTGAAATAAAAAAGAGGTATTTTATAATTTTTCGACGCAATCAGAAAACAACAAAGACGCAATCCTGCTAAATAAACAGTGTAACTTTTTCTTTTAACAAATGTTCCCTTCTGGATGAAATTTTCTTCTCTGTTATTTCGCAATCGAATAAAAGAAAAGTAATAAAAATTATTAGCTGACAAAATACTAACTAGCAAAGAAAAACTTTTCCTTAACGGTCTAGTAATAATATTTTTACCCTTACACCTTTCTAGTCTTAAGAAATTGGTAAAGGCACTGATCAAACATGATGGAGAAAAATTTACACTGAGTAAAAAAAGGCAACTGCTAATTCTTGAAATCAAAGCCTTGTAATTGAAGAATTTTTTTCTCCTCTTTTTTCACATTCTTCTCTCTATTTTTTTTTCTTTTTTTTTTTTGCTACAACAGATAACAAAACTATTTTAGAGATGTTGGCTACGAAACTTTCCTTTATCCTCAATACGTTTTTATTTATTTTTTTCCGAGACAAAAGTTAGCTTCAATATTTTTTTGTTCTTTCCACTCTGCCACTGTTGTATAGAATATTATTTCTACTAACAATATAAAAATAGAATGAAATTCCAGAAGAACCCTTAATGTTGGAAACTTTTATAATAGTTTAGAAGTTACAATGCCACCAAATAAATCTAATAGTTACAATATCATTCGATTTTTACCTGATGTGGATTTGTTCATTAAGATGAACCAATTTTACGTCATTTCGAACATAGGTCATTTGTGATGATTGAAGTATGGTTTACACAATAATTAAAGCATTTTAAAATTTATCCTGGAATTTTTGTCTACCAATTGTAATATCTCTGATTTGATTTAGAAGAAAATAGTTTTTTTTTCAGAAATCAAATTATGCAAAGTTGTAGACACATTGAAATAGATTAATGTTTGTTTTGTTTTTTTATCTTTGTTTTAAATGTTAGTAACAAAGAGATGAAACAAAAGATACAGTTTTATACCCTTTATTTCATGAAAGCCATCCATTAAAAATATGCAAAATTTAAATTACATGAATTGAATTTTGTCTTCCTACATTTTAGGAAATAGAAAATTATAGACATAATCTTGTGGCGTAACTACCACTATAAATATTAAATACCAATTCCCTAGTATATAAGACGTGATAACTTGATTCGATCAAGAGGTACTTTTTGATAGATGAAGGTTTACATAGTCCAAAATTAAATCCCCACAATTTCATGCCATTCAAACTCAAAAAAAATCGTAAAAGCATGTCCTTATGAAATATACGTTTCGTGCAAAATTTAATTGTGATACTATTTACACTTTTTCCTATCCATATTATTTCATTTAAATACCTACTATTTACATTTTGAAATAACGTATTTTGTATGCTTTCTTATCATATTCTAAAATTGTTCTTAATATATTATTAAAAAATTCTTATCACGTTCATTCATGTAACTAAAAAAAGTTGATTTAAAATTCTAAAATATTTTCTTGTCATGTTGAATGGCGAGACAAATATATTTAAAATGTGAAACTAAATATTATTTGATTTGTTTACGGCACCTTTTGAATTGCAGTATTTTAAATATATTTCAAAGTAATTTAAGAAAATATAGCAGATCTTAAAATATCGTAAGAAATCGTGCTCTAATGATTACGAGTTGTGAACTCGTTTGTTCCTTAAGCAGTTAGAAAAACAATGGATATCATTTGGAACCTGAGACTAGGTAAAAATTGATTTTTTAATTAAGTATTATAATT